ACGCCCGCCTAGACTTGGGGGGAACTTGGAACCACCTATGTGAGGGAGCCCAGAAGTCCCTGGCAAGGACCCCCCAGTCCCTGCCAACCCCCAAAGCAGCAAGCTGATGGGGCAAAATAACTACTGTCAGCTGCTTTTCCTGGGGAAGAGCCTTCATCCAGGCCGCCAGCCTTTCTCTCAGAGTCTCACCATGTGTGCACTTGAGGTATTTACACACCTACTGTGTCCTGGACAGGGACCGGTGCTTTGTGTCAACGGGGGTGGGGGAAGTGCCGAAGGAGAGGGTACGGGCTTGTCTAAGCTTTCCCAGACCCCCCTGGCTTCACCACCGCACCTCCCAGGTGGAGGGGAGAGGGAGCCCGGGAGCCATAGTGCTTCTCTGGGAGCAGCTGGTGGGCAGAGGTGCCCTGGGACGGGCACTTTAAGCAGCAGGTGGAGTCGCTGATGCCCAGCCCAGCTGCTGCCTCTGACCACACCTTCCCGGCACCCCTGGCCCTTCGTCTTTGGGGATTGGGCTGGAGGAGATGGGTGGTCTCGGGAAGCCATTAGGCCAGAGGCAGAATGCAGGCCTTTTTCCAGCAGACAGCCAGGTTCTGCCCACCTGTCCTTTCTCTGTGTCCTGCCTTCACCCGCTCCCAGCCATAATGCTAGCCCTGAGCAGTGTCCACGTGGGAAAAGAGTCCGAGGATTGTCCCAAGATCTCAACCCTCCTCAGAGGAGTGGACTTCCTGAGCCCACCTGTTACTCCCTCCAGGAGTCGGTTCCCTCCGCTGGCTCTTGTCCAGGCAGACCTCCAGGCAAGGACCATGTCTTCGTAGCTCGGAGCTGGCAGCTCATGGCACAGAGCTGGGCAGGGTTGTTCTGCGGTTCGTATGCAATGAACGAGTAATGGGGAAACTGGCTAAGCATTTAGACCTCAGCCCGTGGGCTGCTTCCCCAGGGAGACTTGCCTTCACCCCTTGGCCCAACAGATAATAATCATAAACACAACCATTTATTTGCTAAACCCACTGGGAGATGGTTGCATTGGGTGGGGGTGGGGAGACCGGTGAGGTGGGCTCCAGTGCCCACAGCCCAGACCATCCCTTTTTCTTTATCGTGCTCCTCCGTGTTAGAGGTCTGACGGACACCTGTTGAGTGTCTACCTCCCCAGCTGCACTGCTTCAAGCAGGCGGGATACTCACCATCTTAACCTCATGCCTGTCCATAGTAGGCCCTTGAAAAGGTTTATTTGCATACATGAATGAATGAATGAATGAATGAATGGAGAGATGGAGAGCAGAGGATGGGAAGGGCCTTCTCCCCACCAGGGACCAGTCCTCTGAAAACAGTCTGATGAGAACAGGGAGCAGGACCCCGGCATCCCGCCTACCCTTAGTGCGTTGTACATAGTCCTGGAGTCACAACCAGAGACACTCTGAGCAGCAGCCTTTCCTGGAGTGGGGGTGAAAGCCAAACTCCCGGCTCTGATCAGGGTCCATCCAACCAGGTTCTGGAGTCCCCAAAAGGTTCTGAAGGCCCTGGGCGGAACCTCTGTGATCTTAACCCACCCTCCTCTCTCTCCCGCAGAGAAGATGGGCATCTGGGGCCTAAAGTGTGGAGGTCAGGGTTTTAGTCCTGCTCCTTAACCCCTACCAAAGGGCCTGCCTCTACAGGACCAGAATTCCTTTACATTTGGAGAACTTCCCCTGAACTTGATCCTCTTCAGTTTGGGGGGATTCTTCTCATCTCCCCAAAAGCCTGTGTCTCCAGAGGGCTGCAGATGGGGACACACCCTAACCAGGCCCCAGGTACAGCCTGGGCACACTCTGTGAGTGACAGATGCAAATACTCCTTAGGGGCCCCAGCAGGCTGCTCTCTCCCTCCCTCGCTCCCTTGCTAGCCTCCCAGCCAGCTCGCCCGCTCCTTTATCTTATCAAAGCCCCGTAATTACAATTGCTATTTTGTTTCCTTGAATCTGCAATCAGAGCTCCCTGGCCCTGATGAGGGAGCGCCTGTCAACCTGATGGCTGAGTGACAGCCCGGCCACCTTTCCCGGCCGCCCCCACACTTCGCAAACACAAATACTCTCTCTCTTCTCTCTCGCTCTCTCTCTCTCTCTCTCCTTATAAACACAAACACACACTCCTCACCAACACAGCTTCTCTCCGCAAACACACCCTCGCGGGTACCCAAACACACACCTTCAGCCTCTTTCCAAACGCAACCCTCGCCCGGGGCCCACCCCCGACCCCTCAAATCCCCCCCAGCTTGCGCAGGCCGTCGGGACTGGCGCTCGCTCCCTCGCGCGCCTCCTGCGCCCGCGTTCAAAGCGCCGCGGACTCTCCGCCGACCCTTCAAATGCAAATCGTCGAGACCGCGTTAAGCACTCGGGCTCCGTCTGGGAGTCCTTCCCTGTCTCCGCACCAAAGGCAGGCCTGCCTTTCCCCGCAGCGCTCTGCAGACCCGGTGGACGCCTTCACCCCTCTGCGCTCTGTGGCCGAGTGAATTGGCAGCGCTCCTACTGTGCGCTGAGGCTGCAGGAATGGGAATCGAGGAGAGACGGGGGCGAGGAGGGAGAAATATGAATTCCTAGTTCTATCCGCGGGGCGCCCGGTCAGGCGGGGAAACCCCAGGACCAAGGGGCAGATGTGGATTGGGCCCCCACTGAGGGCAGCAGCCGGGAGGGGACTCGCGGAGACCCACCGAGACAAAAGTCAGGGCATACAATGAGCCATCAGCGGCGTCGCTGGCGGTAAATATTTGAGCTGAGCCGTGCGCAGGGGGTAGCTGGGTCGGCCTTCCCCCCTACGGAGCCCTGAGAGATTACTTTTCCCAGCGTCCGGCGGGTCTCCCGCGCCTCCAACCGTGCACGTGCCAAGGGCTTTGGAGGCTGCAAGTGGGAGGAGGTAGGGAAGAGCTCTAACAGGAGCCCTTCCAGTGAATGATGGATGAACAAACGAATTAATTCAGTTTTAGTAACTTATCCCCTCGCCTTCCGCCCAAACTTCGGTGGCCCAGACCACTTGCAGGGCACGTGGGCCCCAGCCAGCCTCAAGCCCCTCAAGAGGCGACGTGGGGGAGCGACACGGCCACCGGTGGTTCCACCCTCGCCCGCCAGAGGGCGCCATCTTCTCCCTCTCCATCCCTCTACTCCGGTGGTTCTCAACCTTGGCTGCACATTAGAAGCACCTGGGAATCT